AAAAAAAAAAAAAAAAAAAACATTCAAAAATATCAGCCTAGGCAGAGTGAAAAAGTATGGTAAAGTAGCCTGCCCTTCTCAGCAAATGATGGAGGAAAAAGCCATACTCAAAAATATTGGGAAGAACTACATACTTTCTTGAGGTGGGGGGAACTGGGAAGAAGAGTGGGAAGTACTGAAATAACATTCAAAGGCTGGGGGAGTAAAGTACCCTGTAGGTTATAAAAAATAAGATAATACAGAAGTCAAAAGGACAAGATATTGCTTTTCCTTTTCTCCCCCTCAGATTTACATTCTGCTTACCGAAAGAATTCTCTGAAGAAAACCTATCATCAGGATAACCTGCTCAAGTCCTCCACACCTCAAACTAAAGAGATTTGCACACCTCTTCCCACCTCAATCAGAACAACAACAACAAAAAAAAACCTTAAAAAATAACCCAAACATGATCTGACAATCCTTGGAAGAAGCATTACATTTTGTTGAAGAGAGGTCAAGATAAAAAAAAATTAAAAATAAGAGGATGACAATGAAGATGTGTAATTTAAAAAAAATTATCAATAGGCCTCTCTTTCCTTATTTGGCGACAAGCAAGTGCAAGAAAGTGTTCATTGGGGTTTTGTTCAGTTGTCGGTCTTTTGCACATCTGCGTTCTGGCCAAGACAAGGGGCTTTGAGGTTTTTCTGCAGCACGTGAGCATCTGCGGGTTCTATCCTCTTGTAGTAGTTTTTCTTCGTCTCAATGATCTCAAAGCCAAACTTCCTGTAGAAGTCAATTGCTGACTCATTGCTGATCTGGACATGCCTAGGACAGAAAAGAAGATAGAGAAACAGGTATCAAAACTCTGTATAGTATAAAGTTGTGCATTTGTGCTGTGAACAAAGTATAAAGAATAAAAAGATAAAGGAAGAAAGAAATGAATTATCTATCTAGAGAGGAATGACTGTAGATCCAAGACTTGCAGTTTTGGTCTTCCCACAGGTTATCCTGAGCTAACATGGTTCCTGGATGACCTGTGGCAAATACCATGAGAAATGGCAAATACTTCCATTCAGGAAAGCTATTCTGAGGAATACAAATAGCTGAGACTTAAATATTGATAGCTTAGTAATTTCAAATTTTCTCCATTTGGAAGTGATGGATATGTTATAGAAATATATATAACACAGTTATATAGCGTTAAAGGCTCTAAAGTGAAACTTGAACTATTTTTAAACTTCCTTTGGAAACACTTTTTAGATGACCCAAAGCAAAGTGTAGAATACATCACTCAGACAGCTCTAACACAAAACTGATGATAACACTGAATAAGATTTTAACTCTTTACTCCTTGCTAACCACCCTCCTCTCCTCACAGAAAGCTATGGCAGCACAAAGCAGCCCTACAGACTTAAAAAAGTCCCTTCCCTTTCAATCCCCTGAGTTTTACAGATCTTACTCTAGTGTATTCCCACAATTTGAAGGCCTCCAAAGCAGCCATTAGTTCTTCATTCTAAGCAGCCAGTGCATTTACTTCCAAAAGTGACATTACAAAAAAAACAGTCTGGCTCAGCAAAAGACATTCATTAAGCACTCCCAAAATCCAGTGGACACTGTACAAGCTCACGAATCACTTTGTTGAACACCAGGCTGCACAACCACAGACACAAAGTAACTCCAGAAGCTAAAGCAGAGCAAAACAAAAAAACAATAGTTTAAGCCCAATAAACACCAAATATTTAAAAGAAAGCTTCAAAATAACAACAAGTTTAGACAATGATATCAAACTAGGGGCCAAAGCTGCACATTCAGTTTGTAGGTGCACAAACAACAGAGCAACAAAACCGATGGTCAATTACAAAAGTTCTGTTGTGTCTGACTGTGAGACCTATTTGCTGTCATCCCAGAATCCTACTGTGGTAAGCTACAAGAAGGATTACAAAGGTTTTGTGTTATTGTACTGAAATCAGCAAACAGTTCCATCACTGTGCACATTGCTATATGCAAAAAAAAAAAAAACCAACCCAAAAACAAAGAAGGAAGTTTGTGCCTGTTAGAAGGCATCTGAAAGAATTCATTACTATTTCCTCTGAGAGAGGAGAGCAGGAATACAAGCCAAAAGCAGCTTTGACCAAACTCCTCTTTAAAATACCTGCTACTCTGACAGAGCAGGCACAAAGATACAACAGTAGTGGATTTGGAAGAATTTACACCTTCTTGGAAGAGTAGGTCTCAGCTTGAGGAGAAAGTTATTCATTTTCCAGTGATATCAGTGTCCAAAATACTCATCTGCACTGCCAGGACTGCACATTTTTAAAAGTCATGGCAAGAGTTCAGGCTGCCATGGAAACGCATCTTAAATGCATCCAAGCCACAGACACTGTAGGACTATCCTCATAGCACCCTGTGATTGTTCCAGTATAGCAGGAAGTTGTGGCCAAGGAAGGAGCAGGCTCTGAAGTGATTTTGGCCAAAACTGTTCTATAAGGAACTATTAAGACAGCCCTTGCAAGTAGCCCTGTCCGCTACCCCAGTGCTTGTTCACATGTTGGTATCACGCCAAGTGCTTACATGGATGTGGCTGATATTTTGGAAACAGACACAAACCAACCAACCCCAGAAGCAACACACTAAGAGAAGTTTTCCCCAGCTGTGTCAGATAACTGACCTAATTTACTGTGCTGCTGCACAAACAGGTGACCTGGCACACTGCAAAAACTGGAGTAAGCAGTCAGGCCTTGCTATTGAATGCAAATACAGAGTGCCTCTTAAGCACCTCTGGGCTGATGTTTTAACCTACATGTTAGTGTTGTAAGAGACAACAGACAGCAAGTACCTTAAAACTGTATGCAGTATTTTCTATTAGAGGACAATACTGGATAGGAAAAAAAAATTCAAATTTTTTCTTCAAATCATGCAGTGCAACACTGCTATAGATGATCACTTTAACTAAAACAATTTCAAAATTAAGCAAGCCCTAGTAAAGCAGGCAAGCTTTTGGTTTTCTCTGCATCACACAACAAACCCAGAATACAACACATCCTCCCTTCTGCTGTTTTCGCTAAATATTTAGGAAGAAAGTTGTCTCATAACCCTGCAAAGACATAAGACACTTTTGGATTTCCCTCTGTTTGATCCCATGTACATCTCTCATTCTCCGTAGAAGTATGGGTGCAACTCTTACTTACAGATAGATGTTGTCAAAAGTGCCATCTTTCTCACAGATGTTTAAGACATGATTCAGCATTTTAGTTCCTGCCGAAAGTTAAAGAAAGACTTAAAATCAGAAATGCACAATCAAGTCTGTACTTAGATCACCAACTGCTTTCTTGAACAGTTAACCATATGTAGAATAAGATGACAGAACCTCGTGCTTATGACATTGCCATGAAGTTCTAAAATCAGAAAATAAAATTTAATACAAAAGACGTCATCTGTGAGCACTGAAGTTCAGCCAGCAAATATTACAAAAAAAATCAGTCATAGGAAATACGTGCTGTAAAAATTTTCACTGTGAACAAGATACCCTTATAATTATTAAGAAAAGATGCTTAAGACAGTTTCGTTTGTGAAATCTCCCATGGAAGGATCTCCAATAGCCTATGATTTTTCCCCTACTGCTACATTTGGGGAAAAGCTACTAGAGCAGGCAATAATACATGCTATGAGTACTCCACCATCCTCTTGTACACAAAACTCTGCTCAATTTCATCGTTTCTTTGGAGAAAAAGAATTGCTCAGAAGCATATTTATAAATCACTTTATCTAAATACTAGATTCTAGATCTATAATTAGTTAAAATATGGTCAAAGCAAGGTATAGACTAGTGAGAGTACTGATCATTTTTTTTTAAATGACAAAAGTCTATTAAAAATATTTTAAGTTATCCTTCCAAAGCAAATAGCAAATATCATGAGCTTTTGATTAACTTGGCCCACAGATCTGCAACAGAGAAAACAACTCATTGCTGTACGGACAGTAAAGAGGTACTATCTCTGAGCAGCAGTAATTAGAAACAAAAGATATAATTTAGAAGAATGAAGAAGTAACACAATAAAGGACAGATGCATTTCAGGGCTCCACAATATAAAAAGGATATTAAGGTCCTTGAAAGTAAAACCTTGACAGAAAGAAGAGGCAACCTCACTGCTCTGGGCAGCTCCCTGAGGAAGGGAAACAGAATAAGGTGCCAGGCCATGCTCCTGGGAACTGATGGCAGGATAAGATATGCACAAGACTGCACAGGGTAGTGGGGAATGGTGTGTTTAGGCTGTATATTAGGAAACATTTCTTTACCTTGAGGGTGTTAAAACACTGGAACAGGCTTCCTAGAGAGGTGGCTCATCACCTATTGCCTGTCAGTGTTAAGAGACATTCGGACAATGCCCTCATCAACATGCTTTAACTTCTGGTTAGCCTTGAAGAGAGCATGCAGAAGCTCCCTTCCAAGTGAACTATCCCATTTTAAACAAACTATTCTAGAATATCTCTCTGCTTCAATTTCATATCTATAGAAGCTGAGTGTTTACATCACAGAACAGCATGATTAAAAGAATTTGAAATCCCAAACAATAAATAAAAAAATAAAGTTATAGAACAAACAAACAAAAAAAACCAAACAACCAAAAGACAGGAAAGCAAGAACATGTTGTAAGTCATTCTTTTCCAAAAGCAATTACTACTCTAGAAGTACATCTTGAGATGCCTTGGCTAAAGCAGCAAAAACTCTACGAGGCAATTTAAAAGGCTGCTCAGACAATCTTGTTTGTTTGATGACTCAAGATACAAAAGAAGAGCCTCCTCACCTATTCCTAGCCGTCGGTAGGGTGCCAGGCATCCAAGTGTCATGATATACAGCCTTTTTTGGTTTTGGGAGTGATCCACCCTACAGCACACTGCTCCCACTGCAATATCATTGAAGTAGGCTGTCAGGAAGAGAAACAAAGCATTATCAGACACAAATCTTAAACTATACATGCAACTCTTTTGTTTAAGCCCGGTACACCCCTTCCCAGCTATTAACTCCCTGACTCAGATGAAGTCATACATTATGACTAACATCAAGGCAAATTATATTAGAATCAGGGGTACTCTAACACAATGTTTATTACTTATTCTTAACCGTAATAAGCAAATGACTTCAGGAGGTAAGTTGGCAGCACACATCTATGAAGTTTTCTGCTGTAACAGAAAGCGTACCTCTTTACAGTAAAATGCAAGCTATTTATAACAAATCCTTTGAGGCTGGGACAACAGCTTTTTAAGATTCCAGCCGTTATTTGTCATTACGTTTAAGCAACAAAATAGCTGAATCTACTACTGAAAAGCATTAAGGATGGCACACCACAGCCCACAGTTGCTGGCAAGAACATCTGTACCTAATTTGGCTAGTTCGCCAACCTCCAGTACGTCCTTGTAGAACTTGTCGTTGTAGCTGACAGGAAAGATGACTTGGTTTAGCCTCTTCAGCTGTTTAATGTTGTGGGGTGTCACATCTCCCAGCTCGATCCGGCTACTGGAACAAATCAAAATATGCTTAACATTGACACACTCTAAAATTTCTATGGACACCAAAGATCAGTTGTTTTATATTTAGAGAACTGCTCCACCTAATGATTGGCTCAATATGTATTTGAACTGCAGTGTTCAACCCACAAAATTAACTTTCATCAGTGGCTGCTTTAACCACAGAAATAATATAAATCAGTGCTATACAGTCAAAGTTTGAGGCCACACTTTGCACTGACTTATTAGATGTGCTGCTTTATGGAGTGATTGACAGAAGAACATTCAAGAGAATAGTAACCTCTGTAGAAGCTTAAAAAAAACTTAAACATGAAGGACAGAAGGCTAGGAGAGACCAAGCAAATGAAGACTTTGTATTGATAGGTGGCAGAACTAAGCAATGAATAAAGTTTATAGTTAGAGATGAGTGAAATGCCACCATACATCTATCTGTAACACAGTAATACTGTGTGCAGCAGAAAACTCATATTAAGCCTATTAATATGCAACTGCAGAGGTGATATGCGCATTGATTATGATCATCACTAAAGTCATTCTTCCTGTTAACTGAAAGCAGAACAATAACCTTTAAACACTAGTACTGCACCAAACTAGGCTTAGAAGAAATAGCCCAAGCTTGTCCCTTTTCCAAAACTAGTTTTCTGTCAAAAGCACTATCTAAAGGACTACAAGAATGAAAAATAAAGAACAAGCCCATCAAAATCTTTCTTGGTCATCTGGTCATCAGAAGACACAGGCAGGAACAAAACCAATACATGCTATGTTAGAAATGTATACAGTTGTAGATTTATCTGCAGTCCTGTTCTACTGAACACATACAGGGCAATCAGGTTGTTTAATACCTAATCATTGTTACAGGCACCATTCAGAGCCTTTTTTTTTTTTTTCTTACAGCATGTTTTCGAAAAGACAATTTTATGAGATTTTTGTACGCCAGACTTCAAAATTACTTCTAATAATGTGTGATGGTTGCTTTCCATCTCTAATATCCTTTGGATGGAAAACAAACAGCAACAAACCCCAAACCTTAAACAATTAGTTCTCCATATCATATCAGTTTTAGTGCCATTATCAATGATGGTAATAGACATGTAGTGTTTTCTAGCCATTGTAGTACAACTGGCATAATGGTCAGAAATCACTACAGGAATGGAGTAATGCTACTTCATAAAGCATAACTTGCCCTCACACCCACTTTTTCTTCTTTTCTTTTACAGTTCTGCAAAGCTATTGCAGCTTCACACATCAAGGATCATGGCTGACTGCTCTCTGATATGACACAGTCATAGCCACCTACTGAGCATGCAGAAGCTAAGCAATTTGTAAGCTGGGCCTATCTTTTAGAGAGACAACTGGCCTTAGCTAACAAATCATTGATAATTGTGTAATTCTCCATCAGATTAACATGTTCCAGTTAAATATCTTAGCTACAAAGAATTAATGGATGGTATTTAGATTGTGAACTGTGCTGACACCAGAGCCTAATCTTTCACCACGTATTTGCCAAATGGATTAAAAAGCCCCCTGGTATTGACATCTCATGCCAGTAATAGTGCTTGCACGTTGATCCAAGCAGCTTTTTGTCTTCTCCATGCCACACTGAAAAGCTGAATCTTCTTCCTTCTCAACTATGGCTTGCCCCATGTTCCGCCCAACTGGATGGCAATCTTCAGATCTCTTACCACAGCTAGACAGTACATTCTCCAACAGTGATCTCAAGAATGACAGAAGAGACCACTCTCCATATTCTTACACTTATCTATTTTAACCTATGCAGGCATACTAAAAGTAGCATCAGTTAGACATTGTTGAAGTTTCTAGCTATAAATCAATATGCTCTGCTGAAACAGTCCTTTTTTCATGACTCCTACTGACTCCAGCCCTTAATTTCACAATCTTTTCCACCTGTAGATAACCCTGCTCTCAAAATTCCTTTCTTCACATACCATAAGCTCTGAGAATTATATTCTAACATGAAGTACTGATCTAGCAAGAGAGGATCTGTACACACCACAGGAATCACAGAATTGTAGGGGTTGGAAGAGACCTCCAGAGATCATTGAGTCCAACCCCACTGCCAAAGTAGGCTCCCTACATCAGGTCACACAAGTAGGTGTCCAGGTGGGTCTTGAATACCTCCAGAGAAGGAGACTCCACAACCTCTCTGGGCAGAATACTGCACTGTAAACAAGCATGCTATTAAATGATAGTTATTAGACAGTGAGGTAACTGTAATGCTTGTTCTACAACCAGCTTAATGCAGCTGTTCAAGCTAGCACAGCTGGCCTTCTTCAGGCACACAAATGGCAACAAGTTGCTCCCCTATCCCAGCCAGCAGCACTGCTACTTTGTCTCACAAGGGGCAGGAATAAGACCACAGTGCAGGGAGTTCCCTCCCAAATAAATCTATGAGCATCCTGCTTGAGTAAAGCATCTCAGCAGTACTAGAAGAGAAGACTTCTGCATTGAGTGGAAACCAAAGGGAGCAGGTCTCATCTGCCCAGTGAGATCAAAGCAGAATGTCAATGAGGAAGGAGAAAAACCTCACATTTAGTCCCCCAAAAGCTTAGACCTCTTGTCCAAAATATTTTATACTAACCTTTGGTGATACCTTTTTATTTTTAATCAGTAGGTTCAAGCCTCAATAGATCAGTAACGCTAGCCTGAACCTTTATGATGAGGTTATGGCAGACTTGTTAGAGCAGCTCCTCCTTTACACTTCAGTAAAAATCCCCAGACTATAATCAGGTACTACATGCTTTCTAATATTTTAGTCTTTGATGAAGTGAAAAGTAAGGCATTAGAAGACAGTGGATTGAAAATTTTCAATAAATACAGATGTCATGGCTGAGGAGACATGGCCAGAAGACTGGCCTTGATCAGGAAGATTCCAGACAAGAAAAACAGAAAAGCAGAGCAAGACACCACCTCTCAGGCCACAAGACCAGAGAAACTGCTCCAGAAGTGCACAGCTGAAGGGTGTTGATGACTAATTTCCCAGAGCCCTTGGGCTCCCCAGCTCTCTCACCACCACTTGCAACATTAATTGCTGTCTCCAACATCTCCTTCTGTCCACCTCTTGCGCTCTGCCACTAGCTGTTTCTTCCTAGGGTGAGAATTACAGCAGGGCCAGCAAGATATCCTGGAGGACAGTATGAAAGAAATCTAAGAACGACAACAGTATATTGATTTTGTTTCCTGATATGTCTGTTTAAATACTACGTATTCAAACCATAAATTACTTTAACGTACAGCACTAGCTGATTAAATCAGCACCACATCTATTGCACTCAAAACCATCTGAGGCAAACTAAATGAACCCACAGGAAGATAGATATATACCATGGGAGTTCACTTTGCCTGAGGACAGCACAGCAAAAGTGCCACTGAAGCCTCAAGTAGAAACAAGGGAAAGCCAGCATTACTGCTGGAAGAAGCACTCTTGTTATGCCTGAGCCACTCATTTCCACCCTCCTGCTGGCACAAAGGCGGTAAACCAACCTCAATTAAAACTTTGCCAAAAAAAAAAAAGAGAAAAAAAGGAAAGTTTAGCTTTAACCCACATCAGTCCCTTGGTTGGGTTTACCATGTAAAATCTTCTGCCAACAGAGGGGGAAAGAAAACCACCAGAAGTAGAACTGCTTCTGGAGTAGAAGTGCCAGCCTATCCCACATTAAATTGCTTCTGGAAGAACTGTACAAGAGAAGCACAGGGATCATTCAGTATTCATTTCATCTCAACCTCATATATACAACAGTGTGCACTTTGAACCTAGGGATTTAAAACCACCCAGCCTCAAAAAGAGAAGGAGCCTGGAAGAAAGAACACCAGATAGTCACTCCTTCCTTTCCACTGGAGTAAAGGCAATTGTTTTTATTTTTTATTTTTTTATTTTTTAAAAAGCTAGTTACAAGTAGACAGGATTTCTAGTTACCTCTCAGCCGAAACAGTAATATAAATTTACTGTATCAGCTGAGGCTCAGTTGGGCCAGCTGTGTATTCCAGCTCAGTAGCAGCTGTAACAGAAATACCTATTCTTTACTGCTGCAAAGAAAAAAATTAAATCACAAAGCATATAAGAACACCTGAAGCACTCAGATGTCATCCCTTAACAGATTATTTTATTCCATTATTCCAATCATGTTCTTAGGAAGATATAGTTATTACCAGCATCCCAAATAGCATCTCACACAGGAGGTAGCAGTCAATTGTATTCACTGTAGGCATCAAAGCTTCCGGTGCAGAGATGGAACATCCCAAGGCACCCAACATAAGTAATTCATTCTCATATGGAGGAACTAGGGATTCCCAGCTCATCATATCAGGCCTCTTATTACATGCAATGCTCTACCCTTACCTAGGTGGAGTACCAGTCAACTGGAGCTACTCAGACAACATCACTGCAAGGTTGTTCCCAAGCCATCACTGTTCTCATAGTTATGCTTTCTTCTGATTTACACTCAAATTCATTCAAGTTCTAGCCATTTCAGTAGTTGATGCGAGTCAATACTCCTTGCCCACAGCCTGTATCTTCAGAGAGCTACCATGCCATTCAGCTTTCATTCCATCTAAAGCCAAGATCCCAGCCTCCTTCTTTAATGCTGCCTCTTAATTCCTGCTGCTGTCACACTAGCTCTTCTTCACACTCCTTCAGATTAATTCTCCCCAAACACAGTTGACCAAAACTGCTTACAGCACTCTAAACGCAAACCCTGTACAACAGCAACAGCTTTTCCCCATCTCTACTGGAAGCATTTTCCTGACATAACCTAGGACTACATTTGCATTTCAGCAACATAATATGACTCAGTTACTGAGAAAATCCACACTCAGAGGTGAACCAGTTTCTGATCCATAGGGCGCACAGCAATGTTGCCCAGCTACGTCAGAGCTGAGTGAAGCGTGATTCATGAAATCCTGATGGAAATGGGAATTTACAGAGGTGCCATGGAGAACTTACTGAAGCTGGATGCATGCCCAGAACATCAA